AATATCTTCGTTAAAGACTTTGATGGTGACAGCTCAAACATGAGAGGTTGAGCTTTATTAGCTCCACCTTGCGGAAATTCCGGATACTATTATTTTGCTTGCGGTATTATAGGAGAATTTACGGTAACTAGCTGTATTTACCGGTAACTCGCGGTAGACTGCGTACAGCGCACAGGAAAATAATGTGGTATCGCCCGCGCATTTTGAATGGCTGCATCTGTATATACATTTTAAGTACACGGTCCTTTAATATAGTGTTTCTATGTGGGATTCATTTTTTGCTTCTATTGCCTGTGTCTCTTTCATACATACTATCTTCAGATTCTTACCCATTCCTTTCTAGTTTAATTTCTCTGTAGATTACTGCCCTTAGATGATGGATTAATAATAATAATAACAATATACTTTATTTGATATAGCACCTTTAAAAATGGCTTCTCAAAGCGCTTTACAGAATGACAACAACAATAAATAAAAAGATTACACAGGATAAAACACAATTACAATATACAGAGGAGACCGTGAATGGTGGTACTAAGAAAAGCAGAGGGGTGAAGAATGGAACCAGTTAAGTAAAGGATTTTCTAAAAAAGAGGGTTTTGAGTCTGGATTTGAAAGAGTTTAGAGAAGGTGACTCTCTGATATCCTTGGGGAGAGAGTTCCAGAGCTTGGGGGTGTAACAGGAGAAGGCCCTGTCACCCATAGAATGTAGACGGGCTTGGGGGACAGTAAGGACAACAGAATTAGAAGAGCGAAGGTTGTTTGGTGAGGAGTAGGGCGATAATAGTTCAGGTACTGAGGTGCCAAGCCATGCAGAGCCTTATAGGTGAGCATGAGGATTTTAAAATCTACACGGAATTTGACCGGAAGCCAGTGCAAGGACTCCAGGATAGGAGTAATGTGATCATTTGCACTAGACCTGGTCAGGATTCTGGCTGCTGAATTTTGGACATGCAGTTTGTTCAAAGTAGATTTAGATACCCCAGCGAGTAGAGCATCACAGTAGTCAATTCAAGAGAACACAAATGTGTTGATCAACTTTTCAGCCACAGTTAGTGATAGCACAGGGCATAGTCTAACGGTATTTCTGAGGTGAAAAAAAGACCTCTCATTCATGTACATCTTTACATCTCATTTGTGTAGTTTGTCATGTCGGTACATGTTTCCTTGCAGTAGACTGGTTTCCAATAGGTTACAAAGCTAAAGCCTTCCTCTGCACATTATCATCTCAGTCTTGTTTTGTCACACACAGTATTATGTGTAAAAGGTCAGTATTACCTCTGTTGCTGTTTATAAATAAAACTCTTTAAAATATTTTTTACTAGATCACCTTCAATTATTGTAACCTAAATCGTGTATATTAAACTATTCTCTTTGCAGATGACTTCACATTTGGTGGATCTGCAAACAATAATCACAAATCTGACAAATTGAATTGTATTTTGAGTTGTGTAGGTACAGTAGCAATATAAACTATAAATATAAACTGGAAAGACTGAGCACGAAGAGTCTTGGTACATCATGTACCAAATATTAATGTGTACCATCATGGGAAAATATAAATGCCAAACAGATGTTAGGATGTACAGTATATAATACTCTCCAAAATTATTGTAACATAAGTGTCAAAATCTTAAAATGCACTGAATAGCCAAAATAACATATATCGCATTTATCATGTGATATATTAAAGCGTTAACATACTGCTATGGTGTATATTACAGTTATAATGGTATATATAACATAATATTAAGTGAAATGTATGTTAAACAAACTTATTCTTGAAGTCTTCTGTATTGAATGGCACTCATTGGTGTTATGTGCTCTTATGTCATCTACAGTCTGAGTGTATCACTTGTCCTTTAAGATTAACTGGGCCTTCAGTTTTTTGCCTCTGGGTTTGTGATTTTAATAAGACAACCAATACCCTTCCTTATCTATTTTTTTCCTTAAAGTTACTGGTTGTCAGGATGGCTTTAATACCACTTAGAATCAGTGTTACTGTAAGGAGAAAAAACGAGTCTGTTAACAGCCTCACATTAAATGTGAATTTCCAGGTCAGCAAATCATGTTTGATGCATCTTTACCCCTCTTATTAATATAATAATACGAGAAACGGACTGATAGAAATTAAATCAGATAGTGGGAGTAGGGGCGTGCACCTCTTTACAGTGGTTTGCATCTTTATGTTTACTTTAGGAGTTATTATTAGGAGTTATTTGTCTCTGACACAGCAGTATGTTCATTTTGTTTGTGTATCATTCAGACCCTCTGATCGTGTTAAAGGCCACTGTTGCAAATTCTTGCATCACTTGAACGTGTGTTTTTTTTTTTCTGTTTCAGGGTGGCTGAACACACTGAGAAGAAAACACAAGGCAAATCTAAGGAGGAAATTTGAATATTTGTTTGAAGAAGTTGCTAAACCAGGAAAGCATACTCTCCTAAGTGATGGTTTCACACATGTTAAGGTGTCTCAGGGCATTTCTGCTGAGGTGAATTATGGACATGAGATCAGTCAGTTAGAGACCATCTTCAAAAGCCCAAAGTCTCAAATCCAATCCATCAGGTACAATGATATTTTCAAGCCACTGGAGAAGGAAACCAAACCCATCAGGACTGTACTGACAAAGGGAATCGCCGGTATTGGTAAAACATTCTCAGTGCAAAGATTCATTGTTGACTGGGCTTCTCAAAATGAGAATCAGGACTTTGATTTAATATTTTTACTTCCATTCATTGAATTAAACTTGATCAAAGCAGAAATAAGTTTGTTGGGACTGCTTCAATGTTTCTATCCAGAGATAAAATCATATGATAATATTTTGATTTGTTGCAAAATATTGTTCATCTTTGATGGATTGGACGAAAGCAGGTTTGCTTTGAACTTTGAAACAAACCAGAGGTTGTCTGATGTGAAAAAGGAAGCATCAGTGGACGTCCTGCTAACAAATCTCATACAGGGAAACTTTAATGTTTATGCCTTTATCTGGATAACTTCCAGACCAGCTACAGCAGGTTTAATCCCTCTAGAGCACATCAGCAGGGTGACAGAGGTCCAAGGATTTGAAGATCAACAGAAGGAAGAGTTCATCAGAAAGAAATGTAAAGAAAAAGTTATTGCAGAGAAAATTATTTCACATATACAGAAACTCAGGAGTCTTTACATTATGTGTTATGTCCCCGTTATTTGTAGGATTGTGGTTAGTGTTCTGGAGCACACATTGAAAGAGAACAATGAGGACAACATGAAAAGTTTGACAGATTTATATACAAACTTTCTTGTTGTTGCACTGACAGCAAAGAAAGATAAAAAAAATCAAGTTGAACACATCTTGAGATCAAATCAAGAAGTACTTATGAAGCTGGGAAAGCTAGCATTTGAAAACCTGGAGAAAAGCAACATGGTATTCTATGACAAAGATCTGACAGAATATGGCATTGATCTCAACAACTCTTCACTTTCTTCAGGGCTGTGCAAGGAAATATTCAAACAAAAATCGGTTTTGTTTCAGGAAAAGGTATACTGCTTTTTACATCTGACAGTCCAGGAATATTTTGCTGCTCTTTATGTTTTTGGATCCTTTCAAAATAGCAATATTAACCTACTGAAGAAGACATTTTGGATTTTTTTTAATTTTGGAACAACATCCTTATTCAGTCTGAACGAAGCAGCACTGCAAAGGGCCACTTTGAGCAGAAATGGTCACCTTGACCTTTTTGTCCAATTCCTCTTGGGAATGGGAACCAAGAACAACCAGAATATTTTGAAAGGATTCCTGTCAAATACAGAAGATCACTCCAACGACATTCACAAAACAGCAGGATACATCAAGAAGCTCATTAGAGAAAGTTTATCTTGTGAAAAGTACAGGAACCTTTTCCATTGTCTAAGTGAACTGAAAGAAGACTCATTGATGGATGAGTTCAATGTTACTCTGGTTAAAGGAAAACTTAGAGGACAAACACTCACACCTTCCCAGTGTTCAGCACTCACCTATTACTCATTGCTTTCTGAGAACGTGATTGATGACTTTGACATGAGCCAGTATGCTACATCAGAGGAGTGCATACAGAGATTGTTACCGGTGGCAAACATATCAAAAACTCTAAGGTAAGTACATTGTTTTTTAATTTATAAAGTGAGATGTTAGTTTAATACTGTCGGTGAAATGATGGACTGAATCTCATACTCCTTTTGTTCTCATACACCAGACGTCTATTTGTGTGATATGGTTCTATAATGGAGAAACTAAATCTAGACTGTTAATACTGGCTAAGGCCACTATTGGTTGCATAAGGTACACTCCAGAGAAAAAAATGGTCCTATATTCCTGAAAAGTTTATTAGGGGAATCAGCTTTAGCTGTCTGCAAGCTGATGTGTTTATAAAAAAGGTTGTGTTTCTGCTGCACCCCAGTAAGTCTTGTGGTAAGACACTACTAATAACTAAAAGGGTTCAGTGTTGTTGTGAGACAAATAGAAAATGAGGATGACAATACTAATATAACACATACCAGAATCAGTCAATAGGTGTTAGTCCAGTCTCAGCTCAGTTCTCCTCGTCCCTGTTTTAAAATTGTTTTTGTGCTTAGGACATACTCAATGTGATATCAAATTAGGTGGACCTGTCACAGGAATGTAGTGATCATCTGTTATATTACAGATTTAATTTTCCTCAATGAGCAGATGAATTTTCTGACTACTGCCCTGTGTTTTACTTACAGCCTGAATATGTTAGCATATTTTTGGACTATAGGTAAATACAAAACATTTCTGAAATTCTTCCACAAGAATATACTTTAACAGATTACCTCAAGTCGAGTTGGAAAACTAAAAACAGAAAAAAGTATTGTTCTCACAGACTAATAGTACAGACTAATATGGAATGCAGCAAACAGTAACAGGGATTGATAATTTAAGCAAATACATATAGTACTGGAAGATACATCTATAGTAAGTAATTATATCTTCTCCTAGCCAAGGACTTGTAAATATGTCATCAAGATGTTTAGCCTATAAACACTATAATAACACTATAAATCAGTGCTATTACATCGACTTACTAAACAGGTTGATTCTCAAGCAAAATGTTATCTATATTAGTTATATTGTCTGCATTTCCATATGTACCTCAATACTTACACTTTTACAAGAACCGAGGTGAAACAGAGCACATTTACATTGTAATTTCATTGTAAAAAAAAACCTAAACAGTACTCCCAGCAAGCTATCTATCTGGTTTCTACAAGACTGTATTGCATTTATACAAGAACATTATTGTTTAAACCCAATAGTAAATTTGTGAACAATATTGCCTACTATATTAAGATTGTATGTCGCATTGTACTATATGTACAATAATATTGTCCCGTGTAAAGTAGCATTGACTTTAATAACAGTAGGATATCGTCACACTCCTCTTTTTGAAAAAAAAATCAGAAGGAGCATGTGTTCTGTCTTTTGTATACATGAAGTACAACACCGTTTCAGTAAGCATTCCCAGGTAGAGTAGTTTATTGCCATACAGATGCAGCCATTCAAAATGCACGGGCGATACTGCATTATTTTCCCGTACGCTGTACGCAGTCTACCGCAAGCTACCGGTAAATACCGCGAGTTACCGGTAAATACAGCTAGTTACCGTAAATTCTCCTATAATACGACAAGCAAAATAATAGTATCCGGAATTTCCGCAAAGTGGAGCTAATAAAGCTCAACCTCTCATGTTTGAGCTGTGGCCATCAGTCTT